AGTCCCCCTCAGGTCTCTCAAATCTTTCTCTTCTCACTTTAAAAATATGTCCCCTAGTTTTGAACTCCCCTACCCTGGGCAGAAGACCTTTGCTATTCACCTTATCTATGTCCCTCATGATTTTATAAACCTCTACAAGGTCACCCTTTAACCTCCTACGCTTGAGTGAACAAAACCCCAGCCTATCTAGCCCCTCCTTATAACTCCACCCTCCAGTCCAGGCTACATCTTGGTAAATCTTTTCTGAACTCTCTCCAATTTAATAACATCTATTCTGTGACAGGAATTACATGTACACAGTGCTCCAAAAGTGACCTCACCAACATCCTGTACAACCTCAACAAGAGGTCCCAACTCCCATACGCAATGGTCTGGGAAATGAAGGTAACCATTCTAAATGCCTTTTTAACCACCTTGGCTACCTGGGATGCAATTTTTAGGAAAATATGTACCTGAGCCCCTGGGTCTCTCGGTTCAACAACATTACTCAGGGCCCTGCCATTAACTGTGTAAGCCTTGCCCTTGTTAGTTTTACCAAAATGCAATATCTCACATTTATCCAAGTTAAACTCCATCTACCACTCCTCAGTCCACTGGCCGAATTGATCAAGATCTCTGTACTCCGAGATAACCTCTTTCACTGTCGACTATACAATTTTGGGGTCATCTGCAAACTTACTAACCAGGCCTCCTAAATTCTCATCCAAGTCGTTTACAAAAATGACAAACAACAATGGACCCAGCACAGATCGCTGTGGAACACTGCTGGTCACAAGCCTCCAATCCAAGAAACAACATGTCACCACCACCCTCTCTCTTACCTTCAAGCCAATTTTGTAACCAGTTGGCAAGTTCTCCCTGAATCCCTCGTGATCCAACTTTATGAATCAGTCTACCATGCAGAACTTTGACAAAGACTTTAGTAAAACCCATGTAGACAATGCCTGCCGCTCTGGCCTCCATCAATTTTTTCAGTTCCATCCTCAAAATATTCAAATCGAGTTTGTGAGATATGATTTCCCATGCACAAAGCCATGCTAACTATCCCTAATCAGTCTTTGCCTCTCCAAGTTCATCTAAAATGCTCTCTCTCAGAATCCCCTCCAATAACTTATCTGCAACTGATGTCAGACTCACTGGTCTAACCTCCAAGGCTTTTCCTTACAGCCTTTTTTAAAATAAAGGCACAACATTAACCACCCTCCAGTCCTCCAACACATACCATCAAAATTTGCCTTACTCCAATTAAGAACTTTTATACAAGGCCCCTATCCTTTTCCACAACTATTTTAAAAATAGCAGAATTATGATCACTGGTCTCAAAGTGCTCCCCGACTAACACTTTAGTTACTTGGCCTGCCTTATTTCTCAAGAGGTCATATTTTGCTCATTCTCCAGTAGGTATACTTATATATTGTTAAAAGAAAATTTTCTTGAACGCATTTAACAAATTCTTCAACATCCAAGCCCTTAACACTAAAATCCCCTACTATTACAGCCCTATTATTCTTAGATATATCCCAAATTTCTCTACAAATTTGCTCCTCAGTTTCCTGTTGGGGGGGGCCTATAGTTTCATCCAATCAAGGTGATCATCCCCTTCTAATTTCTGAGTTCCACCCATATAGCTTCATTGGATGGTCCCTTAGAAATAGTCTCTCCAAGTACAGTAGTACTGCTTTCCCTAATTGAAAACGCCACTCCCCTTCTCTCTTTCTATCTTTCCTATAGCATCTGTACCCTGGAACATTGAGCTGCCAATCCTGTCCCTGCCTCAGCCATGGTTTTCTAATAGCTATGATGTCCCAGTCCCGTGTTCCTATACATGCCAAGTTCATCTGCCTTACCTGTAAGACCCCTTGCACTGAAATAAATGCAGTTTAATTCTTCAGAATAATCTTGTTCTCTGACTTGCTCTTGTCTGCCATTTCTAATTAACTTGCTGCTTAACTTCCGAACCCATCTCATCTGTCTTTCTATTCTCACAACTAGTTAAGATCCACACCCCCACCATTAGTTTAAAAGGCTCCCAAACAGAACTAGCAAATTTCCCTGGTCAGGATATTCATCCTCCTCCAGTTCAGGTAAAACCGGTCCCTTTTGAACAGGTCTTTTCTACCCTAGAAAAGCTCCAAATGATCCAAAAATCTGAATATTTGCCTTTTGAACAATCTCTTCGGCCATCGATTTATCTGTCCTATCTTCATATTCCTGTTTTCACTAGCATGGGGCACCAGGAGTAATACAGAAATTACTACCTTTAAGGTTCTTCTTTTTAACCTCTTAACTTCCTACATTCACTCTGCAAAGCCTCAACCCTTTCCCTAACTATGTCAATCCTACCAAGGTGTATAGCTTCCATCTTCTCACTCTTGCCTTTGACAATATGCTGCAACCACAGACGTCCTTGACCCTGACACCAGGAGGCAACATACCATCCTGAATTCCCATTCAAGACTGTGGAATTTCCTGTGTCCCTGACAACAGAGTCCCCTGTTACAACTATTCTTTTGAAATTTGACAAACTCTGCTGAACAGAACATTCATTTTTGGTGCGCAAGATCTGGCTGCCACTTCTACTTTCCACTGTAAGACTATCCTCCCCCAGCAGTACCCAAAACAGTATATCTGTTTGAGAGAAGTAGCCACAGGCAAATCTTGCACTACCTTCCTACCTCTCCCGACAGACACCCATCTGTCTGACTGAACGTGTGGTGTGATCACCTCTATAAATCTACTAACCGTCATACTCCATGTCTCCCATATGTTCCTCAGTGACTCCAACTGTCTCTCCAGCCAATTCAACTGTCTTATATGAAAGAAATCCAAACACATCTCCTGCATAGTCCCCAGGGACAGTCAACCGTTCCCTAATTTCCCCACATCCAACAGGAGGAGCATCTCCCTTCACTGAATTGCCCCTTAAAAATTTGCTGACATAGACTTGCCTAAAAAGATCAACACTTTTCTCAAATTCAGTGTTTACAGACAGATTGCTGCTGATACACTATGCTGAGATAACAAAGCCTATATTCTATAAGGCCTAAAAGAAGCAGCTGTAAATACCTTTTTTAAAAACTACCCTTCCCTTACCCACAGACTTTAATTTTAAACGTGCAAAAAAGAGAAGAAAGCAACTAATATTTAAATTCATAAAATTCAGCAACCAAAAATAGCCTCCCCCTCAGATCCTCTCACTTAGCTCTCGGGCTCCAAGTAAAGATATGCCGATCCCTCTGATTCTTAGATTCAGCTTTATGGAAGTAAAGGATTTCGGAACCTGCTCCCCATTGATGTTTCAACTGCTACCAACCAACCCTCAACAAACATGAAGAAAAAGGTCAATCTTCCAAGTTCTGTGCACACACAAAAAAAAAATCTCTTCCAGAGCCACCAACATCTCAAACATGTGGACAGGCCTCTCCCAAACTCCGTGTAATCCAATTTCTCCTTCCTCATTTTATTTTATATTGGTGATTAAAAGAATTGTATTTAACCATCTGTTTCAAAAGCTGTAAACTTCTGTTACGTATAAGTAGTGGGGTTTATTTGATTTATTTTGTGCAATAAGTTTGTAACACTATCCAATTAAAACCAAAAAAGGTAAAATATGATCTATTCAGCTAGATTTCAGTCTGGGATCTGACCGGTCCAGTAGTAACATCATTTGGGATCATAACACCACCCGAGCCTGGAAATATTTCACTATTCCTTCCAATTTCAATATATCCAAATCCTGGAAAAAGTTGGTGATAAGGCAATAAGCTTGCCAGTGATACCCACACTCCATAAACTCCCATCAGGTCATCCAGCCCTCCTTTAAAACATGCAGAGACCCAATGTAAATTGATTCCAAAAGGTATATTCTCAACAGATATGTTTTCAGGCATGAGGTACTACTGTGAAGGTTGGTAATTATACTGCTTCCAAGATTCCTAGAAAAATGATGTATTTTTTGGTTCAGCACATTTGAAATTCCTAACCTGAAAAATTAATCTGATTAGTTAAAGCACTTTTTATTGTTAAAAAAAAGTTTATGATAAATGTATTTAACATTTCTGCTTTATCAGTGCTTGAGGGGAGGCAACCCTTTGTGTAATGAATGTGAGCATCAGTTTTACAGAGATACTTAGCACCAGTTACAAAACACTTTAACCTTACCTGTTAAGCTTCAATGATGCAATTAGTTAATTGTTCTGTTTTAAACATGAAATCTTGAGCTAGATACTGAAGAAAGACTATAAAGGAATAGGAACAGGAGTAGGCCATTGGACCCTTCAAACCTGCTCCGCTATTCAATAGGTTCAGGACTGATCCAATATTTCTTGCATCCATTTCCTGCAACTCTTGATAACCCTACTGATCAAGAATCTGTCTTAGCCCTAAATATACACAAAGCGCTCTCTGTGGCAAGGAGTTCCAAAAGACACTCAACTCTCAAAGAGAGGAAATTCCTCCTCAGCTCAGTCTTAAATTGGTGTCTCTTTATCCTCGGACTATGGTCTCTGGTCCTAGATTCTCCCATAAGGGAGAACACTTTAGCATTTACCCTGTCAAGCCCCTTAAGAATCCTGTATGTTTCAACTAATACTGCCTTAAATATAGCAAAGGCAGTTGTTACTGCATTTAGGGGGAATAAAGACTGAAGAATATCAAGTAAATTTAAAATAATCAGCATCTCACTTTTGTCCAAGCATTGGATGTCATATGTTAGACAATAGAGCTCAGAATATAACTTCACAAGCTGCATAATTTAATATCATTTTTTGAAGTTTCATATAATCTGACTGAAGAGATAAATCCCAAGTTACATTTCAGATAGAAAAAGATTTTCAAAACTTAAACAGCAAAATGCTGCAACTTCTATTTTAAATTTCACATTGCTCATACGGGTTGATATTAATAATGGCAACAGAATGAGGCATAAATGCATTGTTATTTTGGCACCTGACAATGTAATAAATAGAAAATAAATGACTAAGATGAAAACACAATCTTACCTTAACAGAAGTTCTTTGGGTAACTTTTTATTTATTAGCGATTCATCATTGCTTGAGAAAACCTAAACCAATCAAAATACAGTGTTAAGAAAACTAACATTTAATATTACAATGTTCAAATTATCCACATAAAATCTTAAACCTGAAACCTTAATCTGATTTTTAAAGCATTTTCATGATTAAAGTTTATGATAAAAATATTTAACGTTTCTACTGTATCTGTACTTAGGGGGAAAACAGCCCCTTGTGTAGTGTGTGGGAATATCGATTGTACACAGCACCAAATCTTACACTGGTCACAAAAATATGAAGTATTAACTTTTTCTTTAGGTGGAAAAACATCACACCATTAGACTATCATTTAGGCCAAAACTGCAATTAAAATGATCAAGCAATAGGTTTGCATAAAGCCAAAACACACTTTGCAAGATATACGAGGTCAAATATAAAGCTTAAGCAGTCCTCAACAATTCATAACATATTCAGATCCCAATTCTTAAACAATCCAATAATTGGTAAGAATTCTTGTTATGATGTTTTCTCAGGTGGATCAGAATGGTAGAGCACAGAAGTGGGCCACTTGGCTTAGAGTATGTATCAGTTCTTTCAAAGAGTAATCCAGTTAGTAATACTCCCCTGCTCTTTCTCTACATCTTTCTCTTTCAAATATTTATCAAATTCCTTTTCAAGGCTCCCAATGAATCTATGCCAGCACCCTGCCAGTCAGTGCATTCAAATCCTAAACAAATGTAGGCGTAGAATTAAGCTAAGGGGCAGAAGGTTTATAGAGACGCAAGGAAAACATTTTTCACCCAGTGGTGGGTATCTGGAACTCACTGCCTGTAAAGAATGGTGGAGGCAGAATCCTCAAAATTTTAGTGGTATTTTGATGTGCACTTGCGATGCCAAGGCACACAAAGGCTATGGGCCAAGTGCTGGAAAATGGGGTTAGAATTTTTCATTTTTTCAATGGCACAGACAAGATGGACTGAAGGCCCTTTTTCTGTGTTGTAGATCTCGATGACTAGCTGCATAGAGAAGTTTCTCATTATACCACTTTTGATTCTTTTAACAATCACAAATCTGTGTCCTCCCGTTATCGACCTTTTACTCATTACAAAGTTAATCTTTACTTATTCTACTTAAACCTTTGATGATTTAAAATATTTCTATGAAATATCCTCAGTCTTCTCTGCTCCTAGCTTGTCCAGTCTTATATCCACACAACTGTAATGCCGCATTTCAGATACCATTCTAGGTAATCTGTCCCCTCTCCAAAGCCTTCATATTGTTCCTAAAAACATTCCTATATTCCCACTTCATGCAAAAAGCTCCAAAATTGCCTTTATACATGAAAGAGAACCAAATTTAGAATACTGGAAACAGCTTGCATTATAAAGTCATCAGTAGGCCTCCCCAAAGGATATTATTCAGTTCAGATTAGACAATGCTGGAGGATGCTCATATTGTATCCCAAAGCATTGAGTAAAAGATACTAAGAATTTGCTTAATTCTTGTATTATTAATACTTTACAACATAGATTACTGCAATGATACTTCAACAGCTTGGATATTTCAGATAACAAGTATGCCTAAAATCTCACTGCCACCACCACTACCACCATCATCCACACCTCCCCTACCACAATGCATCACACCATTACTACCTATATCTTTCACCTATCACTTCAATAGTGAAACACTGGCTTTGGTCTATTTGAAATTTGTATGCAATTTTAAACACATATGCTTAGAATAAGACATGTCTCAAAGCAAAACACGATTGCACTGATCATCCGTTCTATGTGCTGATAAACTTGGAAGAGAATAGAGCTTTCAAAAATATTCTATGAACCTTTTCAGTTATTCAGACCTGTACAACTATTTGCATAAAGGTGGCTTTGTCTGAAAGAAAAATTCACATAGCGCAGATGCTGGAAATCTAAAATAAAAATTGGAAACTGCTGGAATCACTCAGCAGATCAGAGAATCTCTGGAAAGGGGAAAGTACACCAGTAAATTTTATTAATATTATATCAATCATTGAGGGCTTCCAGAATTTGCTTTTAAAAGAACAAAATAAAGATGACCTATTGTTTACATCCCCGAAAATTTAAGATTACCTAATTGCAAATGAAGTCCTTTGGACAATGAAGGGATATGGATCAATGGAGTACAGGGGCAGTCACTACTTACTTCGGGCTGCACAGATTACATGAATTGAACAGAAGTCTGATATCTACTGGAAATCATAGGCCACACACTAAGATCAGAGCTGATAATTGTGGCCACATAACCATCACCTCTCATGCAGATCAAGAATTCTACACTGCCTTAAGTATCGTGAATGAACCAGTCTCTATTGTTCCCCGGGACAGAGAATTTGCATGATCCTTTAAGAGGCAAAACTTCTCATCTCCATCAGAAACAGGAGACTGCATATTTTGAAACACGCTAGTTCTAGATTCCACAGTAAACATTCTTAGAGCATACACCATGTCAGGCCCCCTTATCAAATCGATATTTCGATGAGATCGCCTCTTGTCTAAATTCCAATAAGCATATGCTCAAATTGACCAATCTTTCCTCATAAGACAGCCCTTATATGTCAAAAGTCAATCCCAAGTTTATCACCCTGAAATTGAATGTTACACAAGAATACAAGAATGAGGAGCAATAGGCAATTCAGCTCCAAGCCTGCACTGCCATTTGATACAATGACTAATCTCGTCTTGGCCTCAAATCCACTTTCCTTCCTGCGCTCCATATTCTTTCAACCCATTACTAATTAAAAATTTGTCTATTGCCTCCTTAAATTTACTTAATGCCCCAGCATCCACTGCACTCCGAGGTAGTGAATTCCACAATTTCATAACCCTTTGAGAGAAGTAACTTCTCATCTGTTTTAAATCTGCTAAGCCTCATCCTAAAACTATGACCTCTTGTTCTAGCTTGCCCCTCAAGAAAACAAGGTCTCTACATCGACTTAGTCAATCCCTTTTAGCATCTTATATACCTCAATTAGATCTCCTCTCATTCCTCCAAACTCCATACAGTAGACCTAAACAGTTCAATTGCTCTTCATAAGACATACCCTCATGTCTGGAATCAATCTAGTGAACCTCCTGATACCTGCCCCCAATACAACTACATCCCTCCTCAAGTAAGGGAATCAAAACTATTTGCAGTACTCAAGATGGGATCTCACTAATGCCTGGTACAATTGTAGCAACACTTCCCAACTTTTATACTCTATTCCTTTAATAATAAATGCCAAAATTCTATTTCCCTTCCTCATTACCTGTTGTACCTGCATACTAGTTTTTGACAATTCATGCCCGAGAATGCCCAGATCTCTCTGCTATGAGGCACTCTTAAGTTTCTCTCCATTTAGATAATAAGTTGCCTTTCATTCCTCTGACCAAAACAGATAACCTCACACTTATCTAAGTTAAAATTCATCTGCCAAATTTTGGCCTATTCACCTGACTTATCCATATCCATTTGTAAATTTCTTATTTCTTATTTCTTTATTGCAACTTACTCTCCCACATACTTTAGTGTCACCTGAAAAGTTAGCTATAGTATTTTCTCTCTCTACATCCAAGTCATTAATATAGATTATAGATGGTTGGGGCCCAAACACCATATCCTGTGGCATCCCACTCGTTACACGTTGCCAACCAGAAAAAGACCCATTTATCCTGACTCTGCTTTTTGTTGATTAGCCAATCCTCCATCCAAACTAATAAGTTACCCCTAACCTCCGTGATCTTACCTGGGGGCTTGTCTGTCTTCAATCCCCATAGTTTGCTCAGTACTTTTTCCCCTAATAATGATGATGATGATTGTTCTAAGTTCCTCCCTTTCTATAACCTGTGCAATACCTGTTACTATTTGGATGGTACTAGTGTCTTCCACTGTGAAAGTTAAAGCAAAATATTGATTCAGTGACTCTTTTTGTGCTCAACACTATTAATTCCCCAGTCTTATCCTCCAAAAGGACCAACATTCACTTTAGCTACTCTCTTCCCTTTTACATACTTACAGAAGCTTTTGCTCATTTTTATATTTTGCACTAGTTTCCTTCCATAATTTATCTTTGCTCTTTATGACTTTTTTCTTAGTAATCCTTTGTTGATCTTTAAAAAGGCTTCCCAACCTGCTACTTGCCTTTGCAATATCTACTGTAATTTTTGTCTAAATGTCCTCCCCTGACGCATCACAATATCTAGAGCTCAGACTTCATCTCATCACTTCTGAGTCAAAAAATCCTTGAGCTGCAGAAACTAACTCCAAATGAGTTTACCTGTATGATACTGTTGTCCACCAGGTCCCATGTCCTGCAGAATATTACCTGCACTGCTATTTCTATCGAATTTTAAATAATCATGACTTTGTATCATGATATTTCAATCATTTGCAGTCATGTTAAGTATTTAACCTGATAAGCAATAAAAATGCAGCACTTGTAAGGTTTTAGAGCAGACACCTGGATAAGAAACCTTGCAGACAGGAAACTGAGACACAGAGAAAGCGGTTCTAATTCGCAGACTCAACTACAACCACAGAGACGCCAACAAGACAGAATTCCGAGCCACACTGAAGACCAACCCCATCAATGAAGAAACACAACAAGCCATAAGACAGACAGTGATCCTGACACTGACCAGAAAAAGCGAACTTAACACTCTCAACACATCAGAAAGAAAGGCCTTAGAAGGACTGAAAAAGGACAAAATCATCATAATACTACCAGCAGACAAAGGGCGCATGACGGTAATGCTAATCAAACGGGACTACCTCTCCAAGGCACAGACTCGACTAGCCGACGAGAACACATACCGGCAAGTGCAGACAGACCTGATACCACAGCTAGGCAACAAGATTGTCAACACACCAAAGAGACTCAACCAGACTGTACAAATCAACAAAGCAGACTACCCAAGAATGAAACCTGAAGGAACTAACATCCTCCGATTCTACGGCCTTCCAAAGGTACACAAACCAGAAGTAGCCCTCAGACCCGTAGTCTCCCTGCCAGGCACGCCATCACACAGAT